AAACAAAATGGCCAACAAGGTCGCACTGACCCCAAACTACGTCAAAAACGTCTCGGAGGCTGTTGGCGGGAGGCAACCATTAGAAGTCAATAATATAACCTAAATATCCACGGCAAGAAATATCTGGAGTCGTCTACAGTATTAAGTGCAGCAGCGGCTAAAGCAACTATGTCCGAAAAATTGGCAGGCTTCTCAAGACGCGAGTTGCCAAACACGCGGCAGCAGTGCAGCGAAATGATGCCAATGCTCAAGTTGCGGCTCACTCGACGAGACCCGACCACACATTCGAATTTGTTGAGGCCGAACTTCTCGCAACAGTTAAAATTAAATGAATGGTTGAACTGCCATATGTGATGCGATATCAACGCAAACTCCGCGCGTGAATTGGCTGAGTCAGACCCCTTTAGACGCAATGCAAGAACTCTACGACGACATCTAGTTACATAGCGACGAATACTGCAACAGACTCTGTTGCCTCCAGTACCCCGAAAACGGCCACCTCGCAACCGATTGTCAACCTCCCGATAGCCCGCCGCCCTCACTCCCTGACACTGTCCGCCTGGCCGCAATCCTCTCGTTGGTCACAGCAGTAACCAATACCAACACCACTTATTTCACTCCAGCCACCCCCTCCGACGTGCGCTCCTTGATAACTATACCAGCAATGAGTTTCACGGGTCAGTTGCGAGCAATTCAGGCTCATTCTCTCCAAGCGCTAGAGGAAAAAAATTTCCATCCCTTGCGTTCTGACCAACAGGCCTTATCATCTGCAGAAAGTCTGAGACAGAGGCTCAGTGAAGGGGAACAGGATTTGATTATTTACAATAACCAAGTAGTGCATCGTCCACTGCTCTTCCTCTAGAACTGTCCGTTCCGGATGACTACGCAGTCAACGGATTAACAGTAGATTCGAGCCGTAACGGAAACCATATCCCCACTTAACTACAAACTACGTGTCATGTACACCAATGCTTTAAATATATTAGGATAGGTTAATCGATGTGGGAGACAACACGTGTCAAAGAGAAAGGACTCAGATAATAGTAAGTAAACTCTCAAGCTATATGCTTGGCGAAGGCTTCCTTTCATCAGAAACATTGCTGAAATCATTGCCAGACACCTAAGGAAGCTCATAAACCAAGGACGACTTTACGCACCCAACCAGTACACTGTAAGCATAAGGTTAATTATTTGGACAAGTAAGAAGTTAAAAAAATCCCGCATACACTATGCGACCGGTTTACTGCGGTCAGACTGGAAAATGTACCAATGAAATGATGAGACCACATGTCAGAAGTCGCCATACGTACCCTGGAAACCGAGCACATCTGTTCTTGGGTAATTACTCGTAAGAGAAAGGCCGAAAATTCCTCGAACCCATGCACGTAGGCACATCATGCATCAACAGACATATGGAGTTGGATTCTTCGTGCAAGGGTTATAAGGAGAAATGGGCAACACGCGAGCTAATTCGAGCGGGATGATTCACGCGAAGACTGCCTACTGACGCAAGTGACGCGCCCTTACCGATAGTTCTAGTGCATACACGATGATAGCTGTTTTTGCCACGTTAACTTAATCCTGTGTATGATGACGATGACAATGTGCGCAACAATGTATATCCAGCAGAACGTATTTGACAAAATATGTTATAAGAAGGCCAATAAGTTCTTTGTGAACTAAAAGTTACTCAATGGAGTAATTTTTTCTAGGCCGCTTCTCCAGTTTGCTATCACCATTGAGCAAATTGTAAAGAACAATTGCAATGTCAAGATACAAATTT